GATTATTTCTTCCTCATTAATGTCCTTTTCTTTCAGATTGAAGAACTTCCTTTAGCATTTCTTACAGGACAGGTCTGGTGTTAATGAAATTTCACAGCTTTTGTTTGACTGGGAAAGTCTTCTCCTTTAGGTTTGAGGGACATTTTCTCTGGATGCACTACTCTTGGGTAAAAGGTTTTTTCCTTCACTTTAAATATGTCTTGGCATGCTCTCCTGGCCTGTAAGGTTTCCACTGAAAAGTCTGCTGCCAGATGTATTAGAGCTCTGTTGTATGTTACTTGTTTCTTTTCTCTTGCTGCTTTTAGGATCCTTTCTTTATCCTTCACCTTTGGGAATTTGATATTAAATGAGTTAGTCTTTGGGTTAAATTTGCTTGGTGGTCTATAACCTTCTTGTGTGTGAATATTGATATTTTCTCTAGCTTTGAGAAGTTCTCTGTTATACTTTTGAATAAACTTCCTACTGCTATCTCTCTCTCTACCTCCTCTTTAAGGCCAATAACTCTTAGATTTTTCCCTTTAAAGGCTACTTCTAGATCTTGAAAGTATGCTTCATTCTTTTCTATTCTTTTATTTCCTCTGACTGTGTATTTTCAAGCAGCCTGTCTTCAAGCTCACTGATTCTTTCTTCTGCTTGATCAGTTCTGCTATTAAGAGACTGATGCATTCTTCAGTATGTCAGTTGCATTTTTCAGCTCCAGACTTTCTGCTTCTTTTTAATTATTTCAATCTGTTAACTTTATCTGGTAAGATTACTAATTCCTTCTCTGTGTTATCTTGAATTTGAGTTTCCTCAGCACAGCTATTTTGAATTCTGTCTGAAAGGCCACATATCTCTGTCTCTCTGGGATTGGCCCCCTAGTGCCTTATTTAGTTTGTTTGGCGAGGTCATGTTTTCCTGGATAGTCTTGATGCTTGTGGATGTTTGTTAGTGTCTGGGCATTGAAGAATTAGGTATTTATTGTAGTTTTTGCAGTCCGGGCTTGTTTGTACCCATCCGTCTTGGAAAGGCTTTCCAAGTATTCAAAGGGACTTCAGTGTTGTGATCTAAGTTTCTGGTCGCTGCAGCTGTATCTGCACTAGGAGGCACCCCATGCCCAGTAACACTGAAGCTATTACAGACTCTTAGAGGTACTACCTTGGTGGTCTTGGATAAAATCCAGAATTCTCAGGATTAGCAGGCAGAAGCTCTTGTTCTCTTCCCTTACTCTCTCCCATATGGAGTCTCTCTCTCTCTCTTTCTCTCTATGTGCTAAGCTGCCTGGAGCTAGGAGTAGGGTGATATAAACACCTCTGTGGCCACCACAACTGGGAATGTGTTGGGTCAGACTTGCAGCTAGCACAGCACTGGGTCTTGCCCAAGGCTCATTGTAACTACTGCCTGGCTACCACCTATGTTTGCTCAAGGTGTAGGGCTCTACAGTCGGCAGGTGGCAAAGCAAACCAGACTTTGCTTTGGTGACCTTCCTTTCAGGGTGGCAAGATCCCCCAGGTCATAGTCAGGTCCAGAGATGCTGCTGTCCAGGAGCCAGGGCCTGGACTCAGATGCCTTAGAAATCTACCTGAT